CCCTCATAGCCCCCCCCCCCCTTCTGATAGTCCGGCATATCTGATAATCCGGCACCCCCTGGGTCCTAAAGGTGCTGGATTATCGGAAGTTTACTGTATATAGGAACCTAAATTTCCTATGGTACAGTGGTTAGGGTTCACCCAGGATATCACCTATCCTACCTTCTATCATTTATCATGAAAAGCTTCAAATGGTCTTTTATACCATGGCAGAATGACACTGATTTTGAAATCTCATAAGTTTTCATGAATTGGTAAAAACATTTCTAACCCAACTGTAGGCCTAAGAGGGTCAGTCAGTTTTGAAAATAGGATTTGGGCCTGGCATTAAGGAGACCAACTCCTAAATACCTTTAAAAATCTAGGCCTTGCACCGGAGCAACCTGGAAGATTATTAAATCACTGATTATTTGTTAGAGGCTGTTATTAAATTAAACTAATATTTTATGTCATTCAGGAACTTTAGAAAGGTGGTTACAAAAGGGAAGATGTGCTATGGAGTAAGTGCCTGTACAGGAAGTGTAGCACTTCCTGGAGGAGTCTTTGGTTTTCTATAACACACTTACTGCTGGGACAGAAACAAGCAGCCCAGGACAGGGCAGTCACAAGCTCAACTCCTAAGTTTCTTGCACAGGTGCACAAGGCACCTGTGCAAGGCAGAGAGGAAGGCCTCCCCAACCTCAATTTAGCCTCCATCCTGTGTCACACCACCTCCATATTGATGCACATAAGCTTGGTACACTAGCATTTTGGTCTTGATAGTAAGCTTGGAGTTGTTCCATGCTTTTTTAGTTGGTCTGACAAAGGTGGTGGCAGCCTTTCCAATGTAAACATTTAGTTCTTCATCCAGTGAGAGGTTGGTGGTCATTGTAGAGTCTAAGAAGCTGAACTTTTGGGCTATTTCTAGTTGTTTTGCTTTTCAGGTGATTGAAGGATCTTGTGGAATTCCCTGTCCTAATACAATCATTTTCTTAATGCTGGTGGTGAGAACAAGTGTCTGACAAGTATCTGAATGGTGGTCCATGAGTTCTTGTAGTAGATCATCATGAACAACGAGGGCAGCAGCATGAGCGAATAGGGGTTCCCGGATTAGCAGCTTTTTTACTTTAGTGAAGTTCTGTGCAGAGACACAGACAGCCTCAAAATTACATGTGATGGCCTGAAGAAAGCTGTAGGTCTCACTGTCAGCAAGGTTACCCCTCTCAAATTGCACAGCAGTGAAATCGTTACAGACAAAAGCAAGCAGTTGTCCTGTTGGGTTGAACCCTATTCCGAGCAATACACGTATGAAAGAAACATCACCAGGAAATCACTGAACCAAACACTAACTCTACAGGTCATGCCAGAATTAGATGTGGACCCCACCGTGGAAGAGACAGCAAATCAGTGGTCTTGCTTATCAAGTGGCAAGGCTCCTGGAAAAGATGACATCCTAGCCAAATCCTCCAGTGCGGAAAAGATAGCCTACTATCCTTTCTTCCTCAGTTGCTACGAAACATCACCAGGAAATCACTGAACCAAACACTAACTCTACAGGTCATGCCAGAATTAGATGTGGACCCCACCGTGGAAGAGACAGCAAATCAGTGGTCTTGCTTATCAAGTGGCAAGGCTCCTGGAAAAGATGACATCCTAGCCAAATCCTCCAGTGCGGAAAAGATAGCCTACTATCCTTTCTTCCTCAGTTGCTACTTAAATGCTAAATAAAGATGTGATACAAATATCATCTGTATAAAAATAATGGTGAAAAGGATGACCAACAAATGCAAGAGTATCTCGCTGCTAAATAGCAGGAAAAGCTTTCTCGAAAGTCATCTAGTGTGCCTACAAGAACTGGCAAATCATGTGTACCCCAAATCAACGCTGGAAGATCAACCAGACATGATATTTTCCCTTTGACAACTCCAGGAAGAGTGCAGAGAGCAAAACTGACCATTGTACACTGCCTTTGTAGACCTAACCAAAGCATTCGAAAAAGTTAGCAGAGCAAATCTATTTGAACATGGAGTGTATCTCCACAAAAGATCAGGTGTCTTCCTACTGTCATGACTTAAGGCAAAGACTAACGTCAAAAAGGTACACTATCCATTTACCATAAAAAGAAAGTGATCAGAAATCTAGTCTAATGTTGGGAGGTTTGGTATGAAACATGTTTTCCTTTTAATCTCAAAATATTGACTGTGTAGATACAGATAACAGAAATGACAACCACAACAAAAACAAACAAAACGCACCACACTTCCAAACTCAGCAACATCTCCAAGACCAACAGAGGATGTGTGCCACTAGAGCAATTTTAAATTGTTTTCTACTGTAACTAATACCACATTATATGACCTCTCTCTTGCTGGCATAGATTTAGAGAAACTTGTTTCTCTTTATGCATGTGAGCAGCCACACAAAAGAGACTACTTGTGTTCATAACAGGAAGCATGTGCCTAAATGGTTGCAGGAGGGGATTCTGCAACTCCACAGTAATCCTGTGTTGCTTATTACACATACTTGTTTTCTCTTTTAGAGGGTTCCCAGGTTTTCTCTAGGGGATAAAGTGTACCAGTTATGTTTGTTTGGTTATCCTCACTCCCTCCTTTCCCTGCTCCAGGGCAAAAAAAAAAAAAAAGTGCTAGCAGCTTTGGCTCCCAGGTTGGCAGGAAATTTAAAACCAGCAGTGAGCCGCTGTTTGGACCAACCCCAAACATTCTTTTCATTGATACAAGAGCCTATTTAAGGTGGGAAGTCCACTTGTCAAACTTAGACTCCACCGAAACCTATCAGTCGTGTAACCATTAGCATTTATTGACATATTCTCCATAATGAAGATGCTGCTGTGTTTGTCTGTGCTGCTCTCTGTTTTTCTGTTGGCTAGTTCAGCTCCTCCAACATGCTACTCAAGGATTCTGTCTCTGAGCAAAGAAATCATGACATCATTTAAGAGTTTACAGAACACTGAACCTGTGGTGAGTTGATACTTTGATTGTTGCTTTTGAAACAAATCTCCCTAGAGACAAAAGTTGCAATGGTCTCTATTCTTTACTACAGGATCCCTGTGTGGAGATGCTGCCCACGCTCTACTTGGACATACATGTAAGTTTACACTACTGTACTCTTGTTTTTACAACTGTGAATTAAAAGCAGCTACTGAAAACAGGGCAAGTGAGATACATGTGGAATATGGATTGAAGCTATTTTTGAAAGTTTAACTAGAAACAATGAAAAGCTGCACTGTAGAATGACACTTACAATTATCTGTTTCACCTGAAGACATGGGTTATGCCCACAAAAGCTCATGATACCATCTACATTTTTGGTTACTCTCTAAGGTGTTTCAGGATCATTCATTGTTTACGTTTTTCATTTAAAATTGTGGGGGAGTCTGAAATTTTTCTTCTTTAAAATTTTGGAAGTGATTAAATAATCATTTAACGATTTGCATATAAATTTGTTTTAATGCAATTTTACCAGCAAGTACCATCTATATGAGAATGCATGAGAATAGTTCAGGGGTCAAAAGCAGAATCAAGACCATTTTGTCTTTGTTCTGGGTGTGTTATGTGTAGCTCATACCAATTGCTAATCTAATGAACTGAAGTGAAGAATTGCACTGCTGCATTTCTCTTTTTAATCAGTTGTCACGCCTTGAGCTATCTGAAAGTTTTCCATAGGAGGCAAAAGAATGGCAGCCATAATAATAAAGCCATGTCCATTCCCCACGAAGGAGGTGTGAGTCCTTCTTTTGTGCAAGCACCTCAAGATCAGGAGCTATGCAGTAGAATGCACCTTGGTATCTTTTCCTCACAAGAAATTGAGGGGGAAGGATGGAAGGGGACAAAAATGTTGCTGCAGGCAGCAAAATCTAATGAAGTCAGTGAAGGACTAAGATCCAATAACTCCTTTGTTCTATGCCCGGCTTTGCCACTGACTCACTGCAAGTGCAAAGTATCATTTAACTTCAGTGCCTCAGTTTCCGTGTTTTACAAATGGAGACAGTAATAATTTATTCACCCACTTTACAGCAATGTGGTGAAATTAGTAAAGCACTGTAAACACAGTTCCACTTGACCCTTATGCTACCGTCAAGTGAAGAGGTAGGCAAATTATGACAGAGAGCGCTTGGTTAGTGTATATTATAACAAACTGACATGCTCTTATTGAAGGAATAGGCCAAATTCTCCTACATAGGATTCCATTGACTCCAGAGGGTTATGCTGGCATTGTCTTCTACAAAAGTATGTCAAAAGCCAGTGATGTTAGCAAACTGAAGAGAACAAAGACGGAGCAGACAGCCTTGTTATGAAATACTGATTTTTTTTTTTTGCATAATACATGGGTTGTTTAAAAACCATGTATGAATGAAGTTGGGAGTTGTCAATTTCCATGAGGGGAAATAACTGAGTGTCTGACCAGTGGAGTAATCCCTCCAGTACTGCAGCCAAAGTTTCACAAATCCCTTTTTCCATGCCTTGCAGAATTATTGCGTGTTGGCAAAACTCCGTAACTTTGTGGCATACCCTGCATGCCAAAGAGTGCCGCAAGTGAGTGCTCTGAAGGAAAAGATTCGGAGCCTCTACACCATCATGATCTCTTTCTGCAGAAGGGTATGTACATTGCTACTATTACATCTGCTTCTAGACAAATCCAGCTGCCATTGGCTTCAGTGGAGTTAGATCAGGCCCTAAGCATCTTGATATTTTCCACTGGTGTCAGCCTCCTCACTGC